TGTAGTATCAGGAATTGAACCCAGGGCCTTTCCGCTGATCTTTATTCTCGGTCCCTTTTTGCCTTTAGAGTGAGTTGCTGTGGTGTTTCCTGTCCACGCAGTGTTGGTTTGCTGGCTCTAATGATTTCTGCCGTACGCAGGGGTTGTGATTCCCACACACCCACAGCCTTGTCAACAGCCGCCCGCCATGCCCGACATCTGGAATCAGCAACGTGGGAAGGAAGCCTCTCATCCCTCTTGGGCTACCATTTCCGACTTCTCCACTACAGCCCCCGCTGGCTTGGATGAGTCGGTCAGTGCAGGTGACACAAGTAACAGTTGCCACTAAGATGCTTGGGTTCTTTACGCCCAAAGGCAGGATCTACCAAATGACATAAACAATGCAATCTTAAATTACTCATTTTGGAGATGCGTATACAAACAAACATAGATTTTAGGCCTCATTTGGGAGACAAGAACATCTGAGATTCATGTTCCCTTGATTTTATCAGTAATTTATCAGATTGAGAAAATTAGGGGAATCTATTTAGCAATGACGCAGCAAAGATGGGGCTGGAGCTTCTTTATCCCGGCCTATCCTGAACAAATCATTTCTTATCTTTCTGCCTACTTCTTCCTGTGTGTAAAGCCAGCCTGCCTTAGGATACAATTCACAGACCTGGTTTTTACTACTTTGCAGGAGAACGAAGAAAACCCCAGAATGAGTGAATACGTGTTGTCGGACTTCTGGACCAGTCTTGCTTGAAGTGCTCAGTCGCTTGGTAAAGCCAGGCTCCGCCGCTGTCTATTCCCCAGGTCTTGAGCCAGTGGTTAGGAAATTAGAGGGCAGAGGAAAATGAGTCTGTGCACGCAGCGGCACTTTCGTGGCCACAGTTTATTGCCTATCAATACTCATTCCCTGAAGCTTGCTTTTAGGAAGTAGGACAGGAAGGAAAGAATGACTTAATGGTCCGTAGCTCTTGCAATTTCTTTTACACCAAAAGATGCGTTGTGATCCTCCGGCCAGTCCGCGTGCACTGATCCCGTGTCTGGTGACGGTCTCAATGAAAGGTAACTTATCTATGGGAGCTCAGCTCAGGTGTGGCTGCAAGGAGATTTCTTCAAAATCAAAGGGGCTTCTGGGTCAGTGTTATCTCCACTGGAAAGCGGAGGCATGGTTTGTATCTCGGGGTGCCTATTTTTCAGGGACAGGCACGCGTCTTTGGAAGTGGAAGATTTTTATAAATGCCAAGTGACGCTCATTCTACTACTGTAAGGACTTTCTCACTGGATGTGCAGACAGGTAGTGACGTATGCACAGAATACTTTACATAGCAGCAGAATTCAGGTCCCTGCTTGCTATTTAGAAAGCAGCTCACCATTATGTGAAGTCCTAGCCCCTATGTTACAAATAGAGAAGGAAACGAACAGGAGAGGGAGCTGGACCTTGTGGTGCAGGCCTGTAGTCTCAGCAGTCTGGGAGGGTTAGGCAGGAGGGCTGCAAGTCCAAGCCCGGCCTGGGCAGCTTAGTCAGGGTGTTGTTAGTGAAGCTCAAAACAAAAATGCAACAAAGAAGGGCTGATGATGTTGCTCAGTGTGCAAGTCCTGGGTTCAATCCCCAGTACCACCACCAGAATAATTAGAAACATTTTTTTAAAAAGGAAAGTGTGCTACGAAACCGCATGATGGACTTTCCCAACAATAGAACAGGTGTGTCGTGGGTGGCTTTTGTTTTTTAAAGCAGCTCTGGGGATAGAGTGCTCTGCCACTGAGCTACATCTTCAGATCTTTTGTATTTAGAAAACTTTAAGGCAGGGTCTCCCTAGATCACCGAGGCTGCCCTGGAACTGGTGATCCTCCTGTCCCCGGCGCCTGAGTAGCTAGGGTTGCAGGCAGGTGCTATGTGCCCGGCTGCACGGCTACTTTGCGCTGGCCTGGTCGCAATCCGTGCTGCACTTTTCAGCCAGCAGCTCACCCCGCAGTGGAGATCGCTTCTTTCTGTTTTGGGGCCATTTCATCACCGCTGCCAGAGAGGCTCTCCCTCACCTACGCGATACGCGAAGGAGCCTTGCTTTAGCCGCTCATCCTTTGCCTTGATGAGTTGTTGGGCTTTAAAGAAATAAGTACAGAAAGTCTTCGAGGGCTCTGGATAATCCCTGGAAGAAAGTGATTGCAGCATAAGAGGAATTAAAACAAAGCGAAACAAAACAAAAAAACCACAAACTCGTAGTCCAGAAACACAGGCCTCACGTTTCTGCCCAAGCCTCTGGATTCTTTATTTGGAACCCAACATTGCAAGACAACAGTGCCGTGAAGCTTGTTTTTCTGCTGCATGGCATGGCCCGAGCGTGACCAGGAGGCTGGGGAAGACGGCTCACGGAAGCGCCTCTCCGCTGCCCTGGCCGACGAGACCATAGAAGAAGTGAGAAGGTAGTGGAGCTCACTGCACAGACGGCGCTGTGTCAGCATAAGCATTGTGTGTCTCCATGCCAGTCTTGGCCAGGGGCCTGTGAGCCATTAATTAATATCATGGGTTCGCCGGCAGCAGGCGAGCCAGGGTGCTAACCCTCCTCACCCTTCCTCCGTCGGGTTCCCTCGGATTTAAGATCTTGCTTCCAGTGAAGAGCAGGACCACAGGTCTGTCCTGCGGGAACACGACCCTGCAGGTTACCGTGATGTCTAGGGTGTTTTTGTCGCTTTGTCCTCCCCTCCCTTTTAAATCAAACATTTTTCCATGGTGTATGTCTGTGACATGCAATGAACTATTCACTGTGGGGACTTGGTGTCCATATGCCAGCAACTCTGTGCTTCTCTAACCCTCAACTAATCTAAGTCCCTATCAAGAAGTCTTGGGTGTTGCTGTCTCCTTAACGTGAATGCTGGTCATCTTACTGAGGTTCTGTAAGGCTCACATCTTTCCATTTCTGATGGTAAACTTTCTATCTCCTACCTTTGGGGATTGTTTCTGGGCTTGTCTGTAATATCTGTGTCAACCTCATTGGGCACTCAGTAGTCTCTTTTCATGCAGATCGGATGAATCATTTGAAATCATCTAGCAGTGGAGGGTGTAAAAAGACTTTGTGATTTTTCCCCCTCCCCGCATGAGGGAATCTCAGTCAGGGAACTAAAAGTATTTTTCAGTCTGAATCCATAACCGAGATTCCCTTAGCATTCCTGCCTGGTGCAGCAAGTGAACATCATGTGAGATTTTGGGACAAGGAGGGTCCACCTCGTTAAATGTTACCACTGAAACCCCTATTGTTTCTTCCAACTCTTCTGTTTATGGGACTGACATCACTCAGAGATGAGAGAGAAGTTTTTTGTGGCACTGTTTCAAAAGCCAGACACCTCTCAGTTAGTCACTAAGCTAATAACAACACAAGAACTGTGAAAGACGTCCCAAGCTTGCTAGACCTGGAATTACAACACAGAAGCTTCTTGCTGTGCCCAGGGGGAGAAGCTGAGCCGACAAGCACATCCAGCCTGGTCAGAGTGGCAGTAAAGGCACTGCCAAGACAGCCGAGGGGGCTCCATGAACGGCCAAACCGAGCTGGCCATGGGTAGGGGGCCAGGGCTGGGGAGTGCTCTTTACCGCTGGTATCTTCCTACCCATCGCTGGCTTGGTTCAAAGTCAGGATGGTATGGGACGTTCCTTCTACACCGAGCTTTGAACTTGTCACAATGCCTTTTTAATTTTGTCTCTTATTTGCATCTGTGCTAATGGCAAAATTTCTGCCAGAGGTCAAGCTGGATGCCATGCAATAAAAATTCAACTTATTTTCAACCCATACCCTTTGCCAACCCCATCCCTAACCACAAATCCTTCCTTGCTTCCCTCTGGTGGGACAGACACAGTCTTTACATAGTTCAGAGGTTGTCAGTTTTGCAAAAACAAATAAAAGACATCAAACAAAAAGATAAAGAAATCATATTTTTACTGTTAAAATTTCCAAAAGCTCTTCTATTTTAACTTTGTCTCCTGGCTTTTTTTTTTTTTTAAAGGAATTACTCTAAAAATCTGAGAGATATTTTATGTTTTTGCAGCTGTATGGCTTTAAGACAGGCTCAGAATCATTTATTGGGATTTCTGACTGAATTTCTTGTTTTTATAGGTGCATAAATGTGTTATCAAAGATATTTTGGCATTTACCAAAGACTCAAGTTTGTAGGCTTTAGTTAAGGAGCCTGGGTACTTTTTTTCTTCTTCTATTGCTTTCTTGAAAGAAGAAATGGTTTAGTTGACGGTGCTCTGGATTTTTGCACTGTCTTTGACTAAATTTATTTTGCTGGAGGTTGATTGCTCTAAAAAGCTAAAATTTCAGTACTTGTGACAAGATTTTTCCCCCTTTCCCTCCCCGCCTGGCTGTAGCAATGTCCAGCATTTGTGTGAATGCAACTATTTCTTTCCATTTCTTCCAAAGGATCATTTTTACATCAGTTCTCATTTCTCTGACCGAACATAAGCACAATCCCAAACCTGGCTACAGATTGTAATTACACAATGGGGAGAGTTTTGAAGTCATCTGGGTGGGTGTCTATGATCTGTCTGCATTTAAAAATTTCACCATATGATCTTGGTGTGAGCCGGTTTGGGACTAACTGATGACTAGTAGGTAGGTAAGAAAAAGATAGGTGGAATAGGAAACGCGGGTCTCAGTGGACCCTTCTCATTCAAGGGCAGGTCCAACCAATGAAACAAACATGTCCTGGCTACCCGCTATGTGTGGGCATCACGCAGGCCTTAGGGTGCTGAAATGAATACGATCCAGTCCTACCCTCGATGTTCTCAGAGTCTGGTGAGACAGGCAGACGTGCAAACAGACACTTTCCATATCACGTGGTTGTGCTGAGACAGAGGTCTGTGTCATGTGCCGGGGAGAACCTCAGCCTCGCTCTGGCTTCGGTGGGGGGCTTCCCGGAGGTGCACATCTCCAGTGCGTATACAAGGCCGCAGCGGCTTCTGATTGGTAGAGGCCTGAGGGACAGTTGGAGCGAGTGGATTGCGCAGGGGGCTGCTGGAAATGACGGGTGGCCAGGCTGGTGGGGACGGTCGTGAAGGGCCTTTGTGCTCCAGGCCTACCACACTCAGGGCAGACGGAGTACAGTGCTTCGGGTATGGCGACTGCCCTAATTCTCTGTGTTCCCAGAGACTTGGAACATGAGGTAAGGTCAGCGTAGAAGAAGAAACCAAAGGACTTGTGTGCTTGGTCAGAGGACAGTTAATAAGCACCGGGCTGGCTGCATTTGTTTATGTGCTGAAGTGCACATCTCCCTTGTAGTCTTGAGAATTGCAACTGAAAGGCGTTTTCTGGGCGTGACTAGGGTTGTATAAGGTAGATCACTCTGACACGAGGTAATAAGTCCTAATCTTGGAGCTCAGTCCCTGGCTAATCCCCTCTCCCTGTCCTTTTAGGAATTTTGTGAGTATCAAATTCCCTGCATTTAAGCCCTTTCTGTTCGACACATCCCACTGATTCCAATTGCTGTATTGAATCCCTCTGAATTTAACCATCTACAAAAGACCTTCATATGCAGGTCTCATATATTTAAAAAACATATTTCCTCTCATATGTTTAAAAAACATCCATCAAAATGTATGATATACAAGGATTTTTGCTGAACACATAAGTAGGAAAATGAGTAAGGTGTAGTCCCTGGCCTCAAGGAACTCAGTCTGCATGGAGACATAACCAAGCAGAGAGAAAGTAGTGGTCAGTGTGTGCAGGTGTCCTTCCAACCCTGTGGGACTGTGTAGCCCACTTTCGGGGATGCAGGATTCAGACAAGGATCTTATAGCAGCTGAACACAGATCTGAAACGCCCTTCAGGAGCAACTGGTCCATAGCAGGAACTCAGATGAGTGAAAGGAGAGCTCTTTGAGGTAGGCACCGAGGTGACACGAGTTTCCATCTTTAGAGAAGAGGAAATGTCATTTACAAGACTTGTCCTGATGGTAGGGGGCAAGCAGTGTCATCCCATTGTTGTTACAGAATCCTAGCTGTTCTCTGATCCCAGTTAGTCTAGTCCTGCACAGAAATGGGTTCATAAATCTTCCTTGTTGGGAGCTACTTGGCTAGAACTTTCCTCTTTATGAGTTCATTGGAGAAGAAAAGAGTCAGTGCTAGAAGTGTTTTTACTCTTTCTTTTTCTTTTTCTCTCTGTACCAGGGATTGAACTCAGGACCATGAACTTGTAAGCTGAATTCCCGACCTCCGCAGTGCTATAAATGAAAAAGTGCAGGGGTGTTGAGACAAATCTGGGTGAGGACCAGGCCCTCGTTCAAGTTGTTTACACATGTTGTGCCCAAGTTGTGCCATCTTGAAGAGGGGAAGATGACGCTTGCATTGCATAGGTGCTGTGAGGACAAAGTGAGGCAACCCATGGAGAGCGCCCGGTCAGCACCTGCGAGTGGCTGTGGTGGATGACGGATGTTACGGGTAGGAGGAGAAGCATCAGTACAGGCAGGGAAGTGACAGGAGACCAAGATCAGTGTGAAGTAAGAGGGAGCCTGGGAGCGTCACATTCAACGCTGGAGTTACTGTCATAGTCATAGAATATTGAACCCAGGAGACGGAACTTTTGACAGCATCTCACCGTCATTCTGCGTCTTTCACCCAGAAGTGCTCGGGGATGGATTCACCCATCGGATGACTTTCGTTATTTCCAGCTGTGATGTCCAGTTGGCTTTGGCCTGCTTTGAATGCTCTAATTCTTTTTCAAAGTGAACATTGAATCTTTCATTAAAACTCTAAATAATAAGAGATACCCAAAACTATAAAATGTCTAACTTAGCAATCACTGAATAATGTGCTGAATGTGTCCATCACCACCCTGGGTTAGGAAAGAGGGCTCTGCCAGTTGCCCAGAAACTTCCCATACCCTGCAAAGTAGCCATTATTGCATCTCTCACGGTATTTTCTTTTCTCACAGTTTTCTTTTCTCTGTGGTTTCATCACCCAAATGTGATTCCCCTAATTGCCAAGCCAAGGTTTTTTTTTCTCATTGAGTTTATTGGTGCATTTTAGTGCAGTTACATCCATCTTTGGGATCTCGTACCTTTGCATGACAGGTCTTGGTTCTCATTTCTTCCCCTTGTCCCTGCCCTCCCTTCACCCCTCCTCCCCTCCCCATTTACAAACACTTCATTTCCATTTTTTCATTTTCTTACATTTTTTTCTTTTCCTTTATTACCTTTCCCCTACCCTTCCCATTTTCCCTACTCCTTTAGCCCTTTTCTTCCTATTTCACATTGTCAATTATCTCATTAGAATCTTATTTACCATTATAGTTTTTCGCACCAGAGAAACTATTCAGTATTTACACATGTGTGACTTATTTATTTCACTTAGGAGTATATCCTAAATAAGTATTCATTTCCCTATGAATGAATCTGTGTTCTCATTCTTTATGGCTGAGCAGTACTCCATTTTATAGAAAAACCACATCTTCTTTAACCAGTCTCCAATTCATGGGCATTTGGGCTGTTTCCAAGTTTCAGCTGTTACAAACTATGCTGCTATAAACATAGGTGCACATGTATCACTGTGATATGATTGTTTTCTTTTGGAAAGATACCCAGCAGAGGGATGGCTGGGTCAAATGGAACCTCTAGTCCCAGCTCTCTGAGGTATCTCCATATTGATTTCCATAGTGGTTGCACCAGTCTGCACTCCCACCAGCAATGGAGAAGGGTTCCTTTCTCCCCACATCCCTGTCAACATTTGTTATTGGTTGATTTCTTGATAGCAGCCATTCTTTGTGGGGTGAGGTGGAATCTCAGTGTTGTTTTCATCTGCATCTCTTGAGTGACCTGTGATGTGGAACATTTTTTCATATATTTACTTGCTGCTTTTACTTCTTTGTCTGAGAAATGTCTGTTCATTTCAGATGCCCACTTTTGAATTGGGTCCTTATATTTGGGGGGGCCAAGTTTTTACTTTATCTGCATTAAGAAATATTTTATATGTTTTCAAAACTGTGTGGTGTTTAAAAGCTCATTGGGGCAATTTCATGGCCCCACAGGGCAGAGCGGCACTGGTGAGCAGGCTGGGGAGTGTTGCTGACCTGCTTCTTGCAGTCAAAGAAGGCCAGGTTGGGGTGCAGGACTGAGGCAGGACCTGGGGCCTCTGTCCAGGCAGAAGCTGCTGTGGGAAGCTCCCCATTGCTTTAGCCCCCACCCTCCACCTCTCCCTTGTGCTGTATGTTTCTGTTTGCCAAGGACAGGGGCAGGGAGGGGCCCAGGAAACGGCGACATTCACTGTGGCTCTGAGGGCACCTGTGGACCTCGGCAGCATGAGGACGTGCCACCCTGGTGCTTTCGGTCTGTCTCAGCCCTGCAACTACCAACCGCAGGGCCCGTGGGCTGAGGGTGGGGAAGACCTAGACAGGGGCAGCCCTCAGCTTTCTTGATGAAGCAAAGACTTGAAAATGTAGCAGAGAATGAGGGAAAATTCAGCAAAAGAAGAGAAAAACCAACCAAGCCAAACCAGCCCAAGTGAACTTTTCTAGTGGGGCTGGCCTCTCTGATCAAAGTTCAGGGGACTGGAAGGGTGGTGCATAGGATTTGCAAAAGGGCAATAAAGACAAAAAGTTCGGCTCTTCTGGCTGAGCCTGCTAAGTTTCAATGTTCATTTTCTTTTCTTAAAGAAAGAAAGCTTTTGGCTACAGCTGAGCTACGTGGCACAGAAATGCAGTGGCTACAAATATGCAAGGAAGAAAGAAAGTGCTGCTCCAGAGGCCAGCCTTGAATTCTCCCTGTGTGGGCAGAAGGTTTGATTGTGATTATTTTTCATACACCATTAAAATGCTTTGGCAGTTCCCTTAAGTCAATGTGCTTAAAAAAAATTAACAAGGAAGGAAAACACTAATGAAACATGCATGCAAGTCTGATTCCTTGTAACAAGGTGCCATGGAAAGCAGGGCCGGGGGCATTCTCCATCACTGCTGACTTTGGAGGGACGGGTCCCACCAGCGGATGTCACTTTTCTCCAGCGGTGGGGACTCTGAAGGGCGTAGCTGGAAGCCAAAAACGCTTGCGCTTCTGAGAGCACATCCTTTCTGTGGCCTTGGGCAAGGCACTCATCTCTGGCTGCCTCAGTTTCCCCCTCTGCCAAATGGTGATAATGACACTTAATTACTTCACCGTGCTGAGGTAAGGATTAATTAGTTGATGTTTGTAAATGACTTTGAAGCCAGAAAATGCTACAACACAGTGAAGCATTAGTATTAATAATACATTTGAACCGAGTTAATAATTGCATCTGCTGTCTTGAATTTCCCTGGCAGTTTCAGCTAGTAGACTTAGTTTTTCAGCTTCTCTCATTAAAAAGAAATAAAAAGTAGTGCTCCTGGCAGAGAACAGCTGTGGCTTTCCCTGTGAGGATGAATTCCCGTCTGCCGTGGGTGAAAGGGTATCTGTTCTACTGGGCGTCTAACGGGAGGTCCCCTCTGTGTTATGTGGATGGAAGGTGCTGTTGCAGCCACACAGCTCCCCATTTGAAGAAAACACAGTCGAAATGCACCCCAAGAGAACTGAGCAGCTCTGGGAGGTAACCACTTTCCAGAACTGATTCAATCCCTATGGTCTGGACACAACCACAAGAGTAGTTTATCTGTTGTCTACCCTGGGTTGTTTTCTCTCTTAGGTCCCTTTTTCTGGCCTCCACCCCTTCCTGTGTTTCACTTCAGGGTGTGTTGGCATGTGGTGTGCTGTGTGTGTGTGTATGTACGTGTTTAAAATCTCACACGAGACCCATGTTCATCTCCTTTCTTTTATGCCAACACAACGAAGCACTTTTGCATCATTTAACTGGCTCATTAGAATGAGATGACAATTTCAGGGGGTCAATACGGCAAAGCCCCTAATATATGGCAAAATTCAGGACCTCTCTGTGTCATAGAGCCGGGCATCGGAGATGTCCCCAGGCCCTGGTGTCAAAGTCCTAGGAAAATGTTGCAGTTGCGTAGGTAGTGGTTACAGCTTCACCAAAAGCCGGTACTCCTGACAGCCTTTGGCTGGATGTGCACGGTGCCTGATTGTATCAGCCCATTTTGATGACTGTATCAAAATATCTACAGCTGGCAGCTTTATCGAGAAAGTATGTGTAGTCAGCTCCAGGGTCAGCAAGTTCAAGGGCATAATGCCAGTATGGAGGATGGCACTGCCATGGCAGGGGGACACATGTGAGGGGGAGACAGGAAGCCAGAGCGAGGTACGGGGCCGCATCTCCTCTCTGTAATGACTTGACTGTGAGAACTGACTCGGGGGCAAGGCTGTCGATGACCCAACAGGCTCCCATTAGGTCTCAGTCCTCAAAGGTCCCACTGCCTCTTAACATGGCCGCACTGAAGACCAAACTTCCAACATGAAACTGTGGGGGCCACACTCCAACCACAGCAATGGTTTTCCCCAAAGGGTGCCAGACCGTGCTCTCAGCTGACCAAACTCTCTTCAGTGACCCTCAGGGCTGAGTCCCCAAACCAGCACCGTGAACATCCCATAGGATCTGGTTACAGATTCAGGATCTCAGGCTTCAGGTTTGAGGATCACAGATCTAGCTCAGTTCCTTTTTTATTAGTGACAAGTTCACAGCCATGCACTGCAGTGACAGAGAATCAAACCCATGCCCAAACTCAAGACTTTTACCCTTGCAGTAAAATTCTGCCTGAGAAATCGGATGATCTTGCAATTGGGACAGAGCTGAGTAGGAAGGCCTAGGCTGCTTTCCCCTCTGTGTTACTCAGCTCTACCACTGATATAATCCTTCATCCTTTTTAGTGTATTTTTAAATTTTTAGACTGGGTAGGTTGCCCATGTGGAGCTCAAACTTGCTATCCTCCTGCCTCAGCCTCCTTCCGTAGTGGGATTATAGGAGTGAACCACCTTCCCCGATGAGGCTGCCTCTTAAATATTGTCTTCCCAGAACACCTACCTATGCTTTCAGTCCTGGGGACATCTATCCATCTTTTCCAAACCTTTCCTTTAAGTTTCTCTTCATCACCTGGACCACTCAAATCCAGCCTATTGAGGTTGCTGCAGTTCAGTGCCTACCTTGCTCAGGTCATTTGGATGCCAGGGAGCAGGGCTACCATGTGTCTTCTTATCTGTGGCTCCTCGCTGCTGGTCTTATGGTAATACATGCTCAGGGGGGTTTGGAGGGCTGTGGATTCGAGGACTCAGAGGGAGGTTCAAAGTCAAGTCGTGGGACTGGGGGTGAAGTAACTTGTAGACGTCTGTCTTTGTTTGAGGTCAGTCTACTTGGGCTCTGGATGTAATCATCACCTGTTCTGGAAGAATTTTGTGAGATGACTTTGTCACTTTCCAGCAGTTTGAAATATAAACTTTGAAAAAATTTAAAAATATTTTTAAAGGGCAGCACTGACGGAAAAACTGCTTGATGTATTGCAGCTTCCCGGCAAAATGAAATTCGACGCAGCCCCAGTTTTATTATATATTTTATCACAATGACGCATCAAGCAGTTGATCAACCCAGACCTGTTGAATGCTCTCTATATGCTAAGATTTTCTGAGTCTCTCCTGTTGGCAGCTGAAGTCCCGTGTCCTGGACTTTGGGAAAGGCTGTGATTTAATTGTGAGAACCTTCAGTTTCTTTCAGCAGATTCTAGTGCTGATTTGAGTAATTTGACTTTGGGTAATTGAAGCCCCAGGGCTTGATACTGCCCTTTGAGAATGATAAACCCTAACAACTGGGGCAGGACTGGCTCCTTCTGTTCAGAATCTCCCCATCGGCAGGACTTTCAGGTACCCCGCAATCTTGAGCTGATATCCCGGGGATAACAGTAATTAGAGTCTTCAAAGTCCTTGGCAAACATTCATTAGTAGCTCTTCGGGAAGAAGAGAGAGACAGGTGAACAAATGACGTGACCCTTCCCATTTTGCAGACATGGGAAATCGAGGCCAAAAAAGTGGATGCCTCGCCTAACAACACATTCAGAAGCTAAATTTAAAGGGAGGCGGCATATTTTTCCCTGAATCTGGGAAGTCCCTAGAGAGACACAGCTTTTTATTGTGCATTGAAGTTGCTTAACCCTCATACTCTGGGCACTTGGGACCTGTGTGTGTGGGTGTGTGTGTAAGTGTGTGTTGGAAGACTCCAGTGCACTATAGGATGTTTACCATCATGTCTGGCTAAGGCAAAATGGTGACGAGTGAAAATGACCCCATATATTACCAAATGTCCCCCGAGGAGCAAAATGGCTCAGGTTGCAAACTTTTATGAGGTCAGCGTTCCTATGGTGAGCTTCTGTGGTCCTTCTCATTTCCCAAGCACCGTCCTTTCTTGAGGAAGTGACAGCATCGCTTCTCTGGAGAGTTCACTTCCTCAGTGAAGCCCTCTGAGCAGGCAAGGTAGGTAGGAGAACATTTTAAACAGCAAAGTCCAGAGTCTCCAGTTGCTGGGCTTAGATCTGAGAATCTTAGACTGAGAATCATCCCTTTCCTGCTCCAGATTCAAAGGAAGCTTCATGAATTTAGAGGCTTCCATGTGTGAGAGAGATGTATAGAATATTTGTCCTTTGGGCAAGAACCTACTCCATCCACACTGGGCTGGTTTTGGAATCTTGTATTCCAAGGGGGCTGCGTGTCATGGACGGCCACTCTGAGTCCTTCATCTGGGATAAGACCCATATCAAAGTCTTACTGCTTTTCCAGAGCTGAGATTCAGAAAGAAGCAATCTAGGCCTGTCTGGGGCTGGGCTGGGATGGGAGCCATAGATTAGCAAGAGGTGAAAGGAGGCTATCGCTGCAACCACAGAGGGCTGGAGGGGATATTTGCCTTTCAGATGGGAGAGTTAATGCAGATGTGTGTGAGACTGCGCAGGGCTTGTCACCAGCACCTCAAGGTTTGGTGTCTGAGTTGAAAAGCTTGTAGCTAATTTGCTGTTTAGTGCAGAGTGATATCTTCCTGGGGGCCCCCTCTGTGGCTGACAGCTTGGTGAAGCAGGGGGCTTTCCTAGGGGATCAGAAAAACAAGGGTCTCCCCAGGTTGGAACCTGGGGGATGCATCTGCCCGAGTTTCCCTCCTCCCACGAGTCTACAGACTTGACTAAACCAGCTCAGAAGGTCCCATGACTCAGTTTGAGGTGAATTCCTATTGAACACCCATTTCTGGGGTGCTCAGGGGGACTCACAGGCATCTCTGCAGCTTGATCTCTCCCATCACTTTTTTGTCTTTGTAGAAAGGAAAGGACCATGGGTCCATATCAACTCTATTCTTCTCCCGGAGAGGAGATACTGTAGGAGCCTGATCCCCAGAAACTAACAGCACACATGATTTGTTATTCTCCTGGTGCTCAGCCAGATGGGAGCGGTGGTGGGGGATGAGGAATACAGAGCGAGAGAGATCAGACCTCTCAGCTTAAAACTGTTCAGGACACTGGAAGTGATCTCTGGCTTCTGTAATGCCCACTGACTGTACCACACACTATGTTTGCAGGTTTTGTGTCTCCTACTGAAGGGAGGCAGGAATCACATCTTTGGAAGTGTACATGTTTAAATGTGCAGTGTGATGTTTTGACAAATTTGGACACACAGGAAACCATCTGCACCATCAAGATAGTGAGCACAAGTCCTCGTTACCCCCAAATTTCCTCATGCCCTTGGTAAGCTCTCCCTTCCTCTGTCCCTCACATCTCTTCTCACCCATCCCCAGGTAGCCAAAAATTTGTTTCCTGTGGCTACAGATTAGTTTCGTGAG